AAAAAAAAAAAAAAAAAAAAAAAAAAAAAAAAAAAGTGAGTAATATCAGCCCACAGCTTAGGAGAAAAGGAAAAGGAATAACAAATTCCTACAATACAAGCGTCTTTAAAAGCCATGGGTCAAGATTCCTAAAATTAGGAGACAGATCTGTAAAGTATAATCAGCATTTATTTTAATAAAACAGAAAAGGGTTTCAAAGAAGTCAAGGTCTTATTTTGTAAAAATTTTGATTTGTTTCTAGATACATACATACACATGTACACATGTGTAACAAGTACTGAGGGCTACCACATGCTGGGCAGTAGAGGTAAACAGTGCAAAAGACATGTCAAGAAAAGAAAAAAGCTCTCTGGCTTTGGGTAGCTGTGATCCCAGTGATCCAAGGAAGGGAGGTAGGGAGAACCATCTGGGGTGGGGAGGATATGAATGCACACAAACATGTTTTGCATCATGATATAAGAAAATCAGTTTTCTTTACACTGGGCTAGGAACATCTGGAAACCACCACTCAAGAATGACACTACTTACCACGTGCTCTGTGGTTCACAAACTGTTAGTGCTATATTAAGAGATTAAGTACAGAAAATAAGAATAACCATTTAGAAAATTTTATAATGACTTTACTCTGACATCCAATTGTGACAATTTTGCTGGTAACTCAATTTTATTTTTTAATCATGTTTTTTAAAACATAAATGAATCTACAGTGGAATAGAAAGAAGAAAAGCACTCGTTCTTCACCAGGGATGGTGTGAGCAGCAACACCCTCGAGTCAGTCTTGGGAAGTACACGAAGCGTTCTCTTTTGAAACTGACTACGGATTGTGCAGAAGGGGGCAGTTCAGGGATGAAGAGACCCTGACAACAGGGAAGCGGGGTTCAGGTTTGCTCTCATCTCTTACACATAAAATGATGCAAACAATTCAATGGTAAATGGGAAACTGTAGCATTCATAAAGATGAGTGTACTGCTAAATTCGAAGGAGATGACATAAGAGCCATTTCTGGTTGTGTGAAATTAACATCAATTACAGTCATGTACTTCAACTATTCACATAATGTACCTTAGCAGCAAAACAAGTATAGTTTAACATCCCTGTCTCTCTTTTTCAGACAGGGTCTTGCTAAAGTTACAAAGTTACCTTAGCTGGACTGAAACTTGCAATTCTTCCATCTCAGGCTCCCATAATGCTAGAATTATAGGCAAGCACCACCACACCCAGCTAAGTGTAGGTTTCTGATCCACTTTCTTTTAATTACTGCAATTAAAGCTATACATTTTGTGTTAATGTTTCATAGCCTGTCATTCATTCAACATGGTAAAAAACTCACTGTATTAAAGGATTTAAAGAATCTTGCCAGTATACCAAATTGAGTAGGTGAAGTGGAAAAAATGATGAGCTAGGGAAGAATTTTTGTGGTGGAATATATTTTTGAAAATAATTTCAAAAACTAAATTGTTTTGTAGGTAATTTCTGTAGATTTCGATTTCAACTGGATGCCAGTTACACTGCTGACCATGTGGTAACTGGAATGCCAAAATTCCTTGCTTTTTTGGTACCAGGGATATAGTCCTTGTGCTTGCGAGGCAGGCGGCAGAACCACTGAGCTAAATCCCCGGCCCCTCCCTTGTTTTTTTTATACATACTTCTGGCCAGAATCATCAGTACAGGGGAGTTTTGGCTGCTGGGAGAAAAAAAACAATAGGAAAGCAGAGCTTTGAAAATGTATTAAAAGTACAAAATATATTTTAACGTTGTTATTCACTATATTAAAATAGAGATGTGGAAATTCTATACAATTGATGAGAACTAAGACAAGCAGCAATGAGTAGCACAATGCTTTTCAAGTTACTTCCATTTCAGTTCAGAGTAGATTTCAGTTCAGAGTAGACCTAGACCGTACAAATTGCTACATTGTGGTATGGACTTTGAGCACCAGTAAAACAAGGCCAATAATTAGTTCCCAACCCAGGACTGCCAAATGATGGCCCCTGGGCCCACTTTAGTCAGGTTCCACTGGAACACAGTCACACATATTTATTTCCATCCCATCTACAGAGGCTCTCACACTGTAACAGCAGTAGATGTGACCCACAAAACCTAAAACATGGATTATCTGCCTCTGCAGAAAAAGTTTCCAACCTGTTCCCTAATGTATCCCAGTTCCCTAAAGTATATAGCTCCACTTTCATTTACCCTTTGACCAAACATATTTATTGAGTATCTTATATATCAGCACTATTCGAACTGATGAGGGTACAAAAATGAAAAGAAGCAAAGAAAAAACAGAAGAGGAAAAGTAAAAGAAAAGTTGTTGCTCTGACAGAGGCTACATACTGATGACAAGAAACCATAAATAATAAATACTTAATACATAAGAAAGTGATCAAAACTGGGGGAAGTAACACACAAAAGAAGAATAACAATGACATTTGCTTAGTATGCATCAGGCACTATTTTAAGTACTTTTATATACCAAGTCATGAAACAATAATTATGCTGACACACTATCCTCACTTTATAGCTAATAGGCTGAGCCACAGAAAGTGCCACACAGACAGAAAGTGCATTTGAAGTCAGACAAACTGGTTCTAGAGCTCATGCTCTTAATATACATATATCAGCTCTGTGCAGAAAGAGAATAGTGTAAGAATCAGGGAAGGCCTCACTGACTGTGACACTGACAAAAACCTCAAGTAAGCATCTGGGAAGAGCTTCCAGGAAGAAATGACAGCAAATGAAGAGGCCCTGAGGAGGGAGCTCAATTGGTCTACTGAGGTTATGGCCAGGACAGCCATGAATTGAAGAGTTCATGGAGAATGAGGTCCAGAGGCAGAGAGGACACAGCGCCAGTAGCATCTAGGGTCACACAACCATGGCAAGGACTCAAATTTACTGGCTATTCAGATGGGAAGTCACTGGAGCATTTTGAGCTGAGGAATGATATGAACTGAGTTCTACTGAAAAATGGATTACTCCTAAGAACATACTGTATGGGCAGCAAAGACAGAAATGAGGAGAACAATCAGAAAACGACTGCAATAATTCAGATAAGAGGTGTTCTGTTGGTGGCTGGGATTAGAGAGGCAACAGTGGATATGGTACCAGAATCTGGCTATGAGGGTGTGTGTGCATATACACATAGTGTCTTTCTGTCTGTCGGTCTGTCTTTCTATCTAAAATGAATATCAACACATGGAAGCTGAGTATACTCTACAGTATACTACTACATATACTAATACATATATGTAATTTATATGTTGTCATAATTTACACAGAAAATGCAGATATTAACTGTACAGTTTGACAAGTTCTGACAAACACACACACCATGTAACAGACCCCTAAAAAACCAACATTTTTATCATCATATATAGATAGATAGATAGATAGATTTTTTTTTTTTTGGAAAAGCTAACAGAATTGGATAACATTTCAGAGAAAGAACTGACTCAAGGTCTGTGGGCTGTTCCACAGAAGGATGGAATGGCCATTTACTGAGGTGACACCTACTCCCAACCCTGAGCATGACAAGAAAGGAAGCAAGAGGAACTGAATAAGTATCATTATGAGTGAAGTCATCACCCTGTAGCCTTTATTGCTAAAATCTGATGAAAATACCTGGATTTTAGCTTCACTGTTATTCATTTCTACACTAGGCTTACTATGGGTAATGGCAATGAATAAATAAGTAACTGTTTATATCCACCAACACA